GAAAATAGGAACTTTAAATTTTCATGATGACGATGACGATGTTGAGGTATATCACGTAATTTATCTCTTTCCTTTCTTATTTCTAGTGAGTTATATGCGCTGTTAATTTATTTTCACTTTGTGGATTTTTGGGGTTTCCAGCACTCACGTATATTTGCCACGACTACATGGTTTGTTGATATAAAAGTAGTAGATGGTGGTTTGAAAGATATTTCAGTTAGGATTCATCCTGCATTATTATTTCAGCTCTTCAGTCACAGAAGAACAACAAACCAAAGACGTATGTTAGAATGCTGTACGAGTCTTCTGGTTTTTCTGTGTTTAACACTGCTCGCCACTAGCATCATTTTCGGGGTATTTTTTTGATGTTTATATTTCGATAATAAACTCTCATTACCGCACCAACGAAATGTAATGACCAAGTATTGAACACCGTTGATTTCTAAAAATCAAGGATAACTTGGACAAAAATAAATAGAATCAAAGAAAATATCTAATATGATAATTAGCGTCGAGTCGATAGCAGGATATTATTGAGATTTCTATTTCGCGTAATGAATTACATTAAACACACTCAGTACTTCACGCTTGGCAGGAAATGTATAGATTCGTTGAACGGAAAAATATCTTCAGCGGCATTGAAGCATATAAATACTAGCTGCAAATCGCTTTATGTGTTTTGATCAATTGGCCGCTTTTTAAAGAATCCCGATAAAAAAATTCGATGTCGATGATATTATGTTTCGGTGGAATAAAAAATTTGGACTCCGTGAATCTGGATGTATCTCATTTCATCCATAGTTTCATAAACCAATTCTCGGCTGATATTATTTGAATTGATGGGTGAATAATAACTAGGAAGTCTACCAAATTTATGGCTATTTTTTATTTGAACTTCGGTTAGACTTCTGTTTGCACAAAAGGTTACCCATTTTGAAAATTTATTTCTAGGTCCGGTATTTGAGCGTTAAACATTCATTATATGTACTGGAACAAGAACATTCTCAGCAACAGCAAGTAAAACCAATAGAGCATTCTTCTTCGACTGATAGCGATGATGACGTAATCCAGCAGTTGGTAGGTAATTTTATTTCCCATAAAGGCAGTTACAAAACACATAACAATTTTGTTGAGACAAAAAAAGTGATCAGATAATGTTTCAAGGAAAACGCCAAGTATGCCACAGGAACAAATTTACTAATGTGCAAATCCTAGGCATCAGCTGTCAATATTACCATATCATTTAGTTTTAATCCGTTTTAAATTTTCAACGCGTGTTTCTCAGTTTGACCGGTTTGAAAAATTTAAAGTTGAAATTTGTTTCATTTTTAATATGATTATTTATTCTTGTTACAAACATTCCCTTTAAACTGAATTGTCTGAATTTGAAAAACTTTAAAACTTGACGTCACTTTTCCTGTTGTCATGACGTTATATTACCACCTTGGGCTTCTTAAAATGTTATCAAATTCAAGTTATTATCCAATATACTTGCGTGGTTAGCACATTTATCTTGTCTGTAACTAAATATCGTATCTTACGCAAATTTTGTAAATATATTTGTGAATGCATAAGAAATTTTAGGACAGCTATATGACGTCACTTTTGGTAAGAATTTTACAAATGATTTTGCCCGGGGCCCCTCATATGTCCCCTATACCGGGTTATTAAAATTGAATATTTTGGTTTAAATTACATTTTTAAAGATTGTGTGCCGTTGAAAAGTCTAGCCAGATTAAAGCATTAGGATTGGAAATATTGGGCACACACAAAAAGTGTAGCCCTTGTATGGAGGTGACATTAAATATGCGTTAAAATTTGTTATAATCGAAACATTTGGTATTTACAAAGGCGTATTTACGTTAGGCAAATCGACAATACAGAAATAATTTAAGCTTCATGACAATTGTGCTAAATCGCATTTACAACGATGCCAATACTGTTTCCTTGATTTTATTGTATCGTTTTTCACAGCAAAATCGCATTTCCGATCTTGAAAGCAAACTTGCGAACTGTAGGAATGAAATTCAAAATCATGAAACATCTGAGATAAATGAGGAGACGTCTTCCATAGGAAATACGCCAGCAGCCCAGCGACTTGGCAATGACGGAAATCAAAAACCTTGCCTTCCAAAAAATAATGAAGAGAACTCTGCATCGTTTCTTAAAGTTCATAGGTAATATATAAAGTTAGAATGATATTACATCCCCATATTTAGGATTCCAAAAAAGTAATAGAGCGCAAGCGTTTAACTAACTTACAGATGAGAGCGTTTTACTTTGATGAATGGGAAAACCTATATGTTATACCTGTGTTACTATACACGAGTAACATCTTTCCAGTGTATCCAGGTACTGCATTTGGCGTGATACATATATCATCCAGTGCCGGGATTCAAATTTTTTGTCAGCCGGTTCCATCACAAAAGTCATATTTTTCGGCCGGTCTGTTACATGTTTTTTTTAGTAATGCTAACCGGATCGCTGATCTCAATAAATTCCGTGAGACGGTTCTATAGAACCGGTGCGAACCAGTGCCAATGCCACCATTTTCGGTACTCCTGAAGTAGCGTACCAAGATGGCCGACACCGGAACGTATTATGTGTACCAAGTTAGGGTTGGGCCATAATTTTATTCCAATTTTTCCTTGTTTTAGTTCTATCACGAGTTCGGGGACTAGCCAAGTGACTCTCACGTAGTATTTGTACCGGAAATTATTACCTAACCTGGTACACATACTACGTTCCGGTGTCCGCATCTTGGTACGCATACTTCAGGAAAACCCAATTTTCACGTAATGTTGTAAAATTGACTTTGATGTATATCTCAATAATATTTCACAGTAGGGGCAGCGAAAATGACTTGCAGCTCTTGATTCACATGGAATTTGACACGGCGAATTACGACAGTTTACTAAATATCAATTGAAATATCAAATAGACTAGAGATTGTGGGGAAAATAGGCAATATGAATGCGTTATAGCACTTTTAAAATGTCAAATTGAATGATAGAGCTCATATGTAAAGTACTATCTTTTGTTATATTTTATTTAAGTAATAATAACGAGTACAGCCAATCACAATTTAATATTATACCAATATAAGGCAAACATTATTAGAATCATTAATATTAAAAAAATACCAAAGCTTGCCGAAACGCTGTTTGCCAAATTTAAATGGCTGTCTTCATTTCGGTTGAGGCTGAGCTAAATCCCAAATCCATCACTTTGTATTACTTTATATTACCTAATACAATACAAGGTTACAGGCTTACAGCCTTTGAATGTTTCCAATGTTATAAACCCACAGAACGAGAGAATGATATGCTGCTTTAAAAGGGCGGAAGCAAACCATGTGAGGGCTCGACAAGATTAGACTTGCAACATATATATCCGGACAATTGTGTTTTCCATTCACTGAGAAAAAATTCCTACTATATTGGGCAATACTTAAAATTACAACACGTGTGGCATTAACACACTCTATGAAATAATAATCTTTCGCAACGGTCCTATTAACATCGGCACAATCCAGCTTTTGGGATACGCAATCGGGCGATCGCTGGGCATTTCAATTTCACTTTTTCTATCACTCTCGAAACGGTACTCATGAAGTATGCGTTTCAGACGGCGGCGAAAAAGACGGCGGACATCGAAACGTATAGTATGAGTACCAGCTTAGGCCATAATTTTATTCCAATTTTCATATTTTGGTTCTATTACGAGTTTCTCCCGTAGTATTTGTACCTAAATTACGCCATCTTGGTACGCATACCCTCGAAAAAATTATAGCAAGAAAACGTTCTTGGTATACTATAATCTTCATTTGCAAATCTCTTCTGCCCAGCTATTTTTGTAGAAACATATATTAATAATTTAACCTAATTTGATGAAGTTAATTTCATTGTACAGATATGGTCTACTGTTACCTATCATGACAGTGTTGCAGCAGTATTGGATGACAACAACAACAAGATGATATTGACAAACGTCGATTATAATTTTCCATCGTAGAATAGGCCTCGTCGCCTTGTTATCATATTTCTTTTATATTTTCACTAGTTCATACCTTGTATTGCATGCTTATAGCAAAAAATAAAGAGTCAGGCCCATATTGTTCGCTCCTCTTTGTTAGGCTTTATTGTAGGTTGAATAGGTATGGCAGAATCAAAGAAGATGAGTCAATTCCCTCAATTATTATTAATCAAAGAACCAAGTATCGAACAAAGTGCTAGAACCGGGTTCCCTGATTGGCGATATATACTGGTACTGCTTTCAGAATAAAGTTGTTGCGACCAAGTGGTCGCACAAGAAACCCTAAGAACAGTAGGTAGTCCAGAAAACTTTTCACATAATAATTATCCGATGTAATGGCAGAAAGCTCTTTATTCATAATTCCAGATTATTGATTGCTATGTTTGCCACCGGACAGGAAATTTCGAAACTTGTGAGTTGTGGTCGAACTCAACATCCGCATGGTAACGAACAATCTTCGTTCATTATGCGTCAGCTCTCTTTTTTGTGAAACCTCGCTTGTCTAATCTCGTTGAAAATGCAATATCAGTGTGCGGAAATGCAATATCAACGGATACGAAACGTGCGAATATACCGAAATAGCGTATGCTTCGTCATAAAAATACCGGCGTGGGGAAAATTTGCAATTATGACATTGTTGCTAAAACTTGCTATTCTTAATTATGTGGTTATGTCTTGTGTCTCTGTCTCATATATTGGGTACTCGATGAATTCGAAATCTAGTGTAGCAAGTACATAAGGATACTTACTGTGTATTTTAATATTTTCACCACTTATTGTTAGTAGTGCATGTTATTTGCCTGAAACAAGGTCGTTGTCCCAATTCATTTCCTTTATGATATATTTCTCTCACTCAGTGTAGCTTGTCTTTGCCGTTCTTTGTTAGTTAGAAATTTGGTTTCATCACATATACTTGCTTTAAGGTTTAAAGTGTAATTCGTTTTTGGATCAATTCGATTGTGCAACTTTACAATATAACAATTGGCATTCAATACATTGTGTGCTTTTTGATCTCTGAAGGAGTCAAGATCGGAGTTACACTCTGTTAACGTGTGTTCAATAACACGGGAGTGTGGACACGCAGATAGGGTCGAATCTTAGTTGCCCTATACTAGCACTGAATTGCAATTTGTGATACAATACATATATATATATAAATAAGTGTTTCACGCACAACAATTCCCGATTAGTAATAAACTGTATTGTCGATTTAAGCAAATGACTTATTAGCTCTCCGCGTATATGTGTCTTTGTGTTCGTGGTACAAATTCCACATCGTGATGCAAAACTTGTGAGCATACTATCTACAGCAGCCTGGTTTCGACCAAGCCTATCTTATTTTCGCGACAGCCCTCTGGATGGTGAAATCAGGCTTGCCTAATCTCGTCGAAATGCAATGTCATTGTGCGTAAACGCAATATCAACGTACACGAAACGTACGGTACGAATAATGGCATATTCGTTGTCAGAAAATGCCGGAGTGGGAAAAATTTGCAATTGCGACATCGTTGCCATTTCTTATTATGTGTTTCTATATCCTGTGTCGGCTGTCGAATATATTGTGATACATTACTTACATATATAAATGAGGGTTTTGCGATTAGTAATAAACTTTGTTGTCGATTAGCAACTAACTTATATTTCCTTCCGCGTATATGTGTCCTGGTTCAAAATCCACATCGTGAAGCAAAATTTGTGAGCATACTCCGCAACCGCCTAATTTCGAACAACCCTATCATATTTTCGCGACAGCTCTCACGTTGGTGAAATCCGGTTTGCCTAACCTCGCCGAAAATGCAATGTCATTGTGCGTAAACGCAATATCAACGTATAAAAAACGTACGAATGGAAACAATGGTGTATGACGGAAATTGATATTTCGACATCGTTGCTTTTCCTAATTCTGTGTCTCTGTCGCATATATTAAGTATTCCGCAAGGGGTTATTTCTCAGTCATGCAGTAGCGTATGTTCTGTAACAGGCTACTCAGGCACGAGTGGGGAAAGGAAATACCACGTGAAACCAATGCAGCTGGTTACGCATGAAATTGGAATAGTTAGCGATTTGGGCAATAGGAAATTACACTGTCAGGCAAGGCAGATAGAACGGGGTATCAATACAAGCGTAAATTTTTCTGTACATGATTGAAGGGGTGATAGCCAGTAGTGGGATTCAGCCGGTTCGCACCGGTTCTATGGAACCGTCTCACGCAATTTTATGAGATCAGCGAACCGGTTAGCATTACATGACTTTTTGTAACAGAACCGCCTGAAAATTCGACATTTGTATGACGGAACCGGCTGACAACAAATTTGAATCCCACCACTGGTGATAGCACATTTGAACCCATACATTTGCACCCGTATATCCGCGGGTTCAATCTATATGAGGCATGGGTTAGTATGGGTTCAAATATCCGTAGGTGCAAATTTCCATAGGTGCAATTGTCGTGGGTTCAAATGCACGTGGGTTCAAATGTAATGAAACCACGATACAATTATTAGCAATATATTATGTTGTGAGATTGGGAGATTCGCGATATATAGTGCAAAACTGCAGACTGTCTGTCTTACAATTTAAGTTCGGTGTCTGAGCATTACAGCTTAAGAACCTTAATACAGACCCCCTATTATATTTATACAGCATATGCCTTTTCTACCCAAAAATTTTATTTAATCGGTATGCAACAGCCTATGTTTGAATTGTCTGTGTGAAAATATAATGCTAATAATTGTATCGTAATAAAAAATTTAATCGGAAGGTAATAACTCGTGTACACAGTGATTTAATGAAAAGTGTCATATATATTTATGTGCACATTGGACACATTTGAATACAAATTGCAAGCGAGTTATTATTTCGTCTCCACATAGCGCACTATAGTTTTATAGTATGAGTTAGCATGCAAAAATTTTGTTACAAGTAAGTGATGTGATGGGAATTACGGAAACGCGGGTAGACATTTCGTCATAGAATATAATGAAGTATGTATATTGCGCCATAGCGAGATACCCGGCCTAAAGTATCAAATATAAAAAGTTACGCCAAGTAAATATGGGATGATATGCAATTATGCATAGCCACAGACGCTTGGCATAGTCATAGACGCTAGTATTTAGAGCCGAGTTCGTGAAATTTAGGAAAAGCTTATTTCAGTTTTATTGTTAATGCTATTTTATAATATATACTGTATATGTATAATATGAACCCACGAAATAAAACTAGCCTGGCAGATACTTCCGCTAAATATCCGGGAATAACAAAATTAATATATTTTATCTGTTACCTGATAAAAATATTTCAACCGGATTCAAAATTGCATTTTCCGGCTTTTTTAATACATTTTATTTAGCTACTGATTGGATTAAGGTTTTTTGTTATTTCGCTGTGTGGACGGACGTAGTTGTATCAAACTGTTTGTTACCTGTCGTTATTAAAAACGCTTTTTGTGAAGTTTGGCATTTTTTCAAATCATAAAAATTGATTCAAAAATTATGAAAAAATGTATACGCACATCGAAACAAATAAAGATTTTATAACCAGAATGTGACGTTTTGGGTATTACCAAATCACCAATAGACAGAAAATTACAGTTTATTATACGACAAAGTAAGACGTCAGTATAACACAGTTAACGGTAGACACTTCAAACACCAGAATGAATAACAAGCACGCAGACAGGTAGAAGCAAGGAGCAATTACGAGAAAACAATTATGACATCATAATCACAAATCTAGTCCGTGTTAAAAACAACAAGCTATGACGTAAATAAATACACACCACAGAACAGTGTCTGAAAAATGAGCTTAAATCAAATACCACGATGCTTTACCTTTAAACACTCTCCAGAGCACAGCTGGGCCATTTTCCGTATCAGAGAATGAGGAATGATGCAAGAATCAGGAATAATTTAATAGTCGCTGGCGAATGCGACACTGTGATCATACTCGCAAAATGTAGTATTGTTCTGTATGCTTTGGTTGGGTCAGGTTATTATTTATCACTTGCCGATATACGACTTTAAAGTGTGAAAACTTACATTTCATAATGGTATATGTAATGGTTTAACTGAGTCTTGTTCATCACGTTTCCCGAACACCAACTTATTTTTGTTATTCTTCGTAACACAGTGATTCAGGCGTGGCAGTGGGCATGAGCCAGTAATTCTCACGAATCATAATAAAACAGCGAAATCTTGGGTGAAATTTCTGATCTCATAATACCATAAAAGTAAAAAACAATAAATGAAATCGCGTGGGGGATAATTATGTGAGAGAAGATTGCTTGGCTCCTCGACGCCGTACGGTGATTTACGTTCCCATGGGTTGGTTTCGGCTTCCTCAGCCATTTCTAGCCCAGGCATCGGAAACGAAGTAGCTGCCTGCAACACAGACAACGCTCCAGCGAAACGATGCATAAAAGGAAACTTCGTATTCAATAATCATCAGAAATTTTGCAATGATTAAGCACCGAAAAAATAAGGCTTTGTCTTGTCAAGGGTTGGGTAACATTCGAACGATTGCAACGAGACTTCAAAAAGTACTCAAAAGTGGGGGAATTTCCAATTCAAGTGGCGGAATCCATGCCGCTAAGTGTCTGAAGAAAGCAAACAAACGATGTAATGATGTGGCGTCATAAGGTAGTTGCGAGGACATCATTGCACCATAGCATGTTGGAATTCAATCTGGCAAAAAGGTTACGAAATTGCGCCATAGTCTAAATATGTACATGGAAGTATGGATAAAGTGCCTATCGAAATTCTGCGTCGTTTATATGTTCACTAGTTCCTATGAAGCCCAAGTCTTTAAAAATAATTGTGGCATAAACGTCGGTTTTTCAGCGTTTCCCTCCACCCTGAAATGCTATTCTTTTTTTATTTTATTCTGTATATGTACCGGTACCTTGCGTATTTTCAAATGGTGGAAAAAATAAATTACTGATACTGAACGTAGGTACCGGTACCGTACCGTACCGTAGTACTCATAGGTAGGTCGGTACCTGTACATTTGTGCATAGACACCATTCTATCATCTGATCATAGTCTAGCTAGGTTAGACGGGCCATTTAGTCTAACTGTTACTGACTGACTGATTATTTTGTAGCTGGCGTCTGTGTGCATCACCGTTGCATCCGAATTGGTTGAAGTCTATCAGTCAATTCAGCAATACAAACAAGAATTCTAGTTCAGTAGTTACCGTGCACTATTTGCTGGTCTGATACCGGTACCGGGATTAATTGCTGGAGAATTCGACCTACCGATACTGTAGAACTGACATTCCTAAGGAACAGGAAACGCAGCGTGAAGTAGTTGATTATCACAGTATAATGGCTCATACTGCCTAACGTTTAAATTCCTGTTGCTGTAGGCTAGTACGATATCGTACCGGTACCGGTACCTGTATTGAATGATTATTGTACGGTACCGTACTGACAAAACTAAGAATACTGGAATACCAAGAGTATGATTAAAAATAGGCATCCATCTAACAGTCTTATCGAAGGATATGTACAACTTCATATTCATTACTCCTTTCTTCTACATATGTATTCAAGATTATCAATTGGTTGCCTATCTTCTATAGCCCATGAATGATGAATTTGTCTGCTTTCAACTTATAGTCTTATGTAGTTATTAACTTGTGATATTAAAATGTTTGAGAGTTAACATCCTTTCTATTTTATCAGTTTGTATGGTTAGGATAGGATTTACATATTTATCCCGGGGGGAGAGGAAAGCCCATAATATGGCCTAACCAAATGGCGAACCACGGCCTCTCGTCCAGTCACCATTCCATGTCGGGTATGGGATTTGTAGTTATTTGTTTTCAGAAGCATGGACTTGAGGCTGTGGTTGAAACAACAATAGTGCCATTTTGCAAATGATAAGTTTCATTCCTAGAATGCATTGAACAAACCAATTGGTAATTTATTATTCTAATAACTTTTATTAACCTTTACAGAAAATATGCTAATTCGAATGAATATAAATAGATAATACTTTACAAACAACATGAAGAAATTGCAGCCAAATAAAAGAGAGAATGCAAATATATTATCATTTTGCACTTTCTGGTGGATGAATTCCTTTTTTGTAAAAGGAGCGAAGCAATCCCTCTCAGATGAAGATATGTTACAGCTATCTAAAGAAGATACTTCAGAAACAGTTTCCCAAAAATTAGAAGAAAATTGGACACTTGAAGTCTCTAAAGCAAAGAATGGCAGAAAACCAAGCCTTAGTCGTGCTATTGTTAAAACATATGCTTTCTTTTTTTCTAAAATTGGATTACTCATTCTGGTTGAAGAATCTCTCAGAACAATCCTCCCACTTATGGTTGCAAGACTCATCTCATATTTTGAAAATATGGATTCTATGCCAGTATCGGACGCATACATGACAGCAACTTTCATTAGTGTTATTTCATTCTTTTTAGCAATCTTTCATCATATTTATTTTTACTATGTTCAGCGGTTAGGTTGGCATCTCAGAGCTGCTGCATGTGCACTGATGTATAAAAAGACATTACGGCTGAGTCAAAAAGCACTGAGTGAGACAACCACTGGACAAATCGTGAATCTTGGTGCAACGGATGTCTTAAGATTTGATTTTCTGCCCTTGTTTATTCACTACATCTGGGTGGGACCACTGCAATCGGTCATTTGTGCCTATATATTATGGGGTGTAGTTGGACCAGCTATGTTTTCAGGCTTTGCCATTTTATTTCTAATAATGATTTGCCAAAGTTTAAATGGAAAAGTCTTTGGAAGCTTAAGAATGAAAACTGCAGTTATCACCGATGAGCGTATTCGACTCATGAATGAAATCATTACTGGAATGCGGATAATTAAAATGTATACATGGGAAAACCCATTTGCAAAGGCGGTGGCGGCTATTCGCAAAAGTGAAGTACGAAAGGTGATGTGGACTGCAATGCTTCGTTCCTTCAACTTGTCAATGTTCATATGTGCTCCAAAAATAATAGCATGTGTTACATTTCTTGTTTATATTGGGAATGGCGGTGAACTAACTACTTCTCAAGTATTTACTGTGATTGGGATTTATAATGTTATTCGAGTGTCTATGGGATTATTTTTTCCATTGGCAATTGAAAAAATTGCAGAATCCAGGATATCAGTCGGAAGAATCGAAAAATTTCTACTATTGGATGAAACAAAAAATATAAATCAAGTCGGTGAATCCGGTAATAGTAAATGTGGAAATAATTCTATAGATAAGAAAATGGCTGCCGATAAAAGTTTTGTAGAAATTATAAATTTTGATGGTAGCTGGGATGATAATGGAAAAGTGGATAAAAATTCAATTTTGACATTGAAAAATATTAATATAAGAGTTTCATCTGGCCAGTTACTGGCAGTCATTGGTCCTGTTGGTTCAGGAAAATCATCTTTTCTGAGTGCGATTTTGGGAGAATTGCCTGCATCTTCTGGAGAAATTAAAATTCAAGGTGATATAGCATATGCAAACCAAGTGCCCTGGGTATTTGCTGGATCAGTCCAAGAAAACATTTTATTTGGAGAAGAATATGATGCAGATTGGTACGATACAGTGGTGCATGCATGTGGTCTGGAGAGAGACTTTGAATTATTACCAAATGGAGATTCAACAATAGTGGGGGAGCGTGGTGTTACATTGAGTGGAGGCCAAAAGGCACGAGTCAACTTAGCTCGCGCTGCATATCGTAAAAATGCAAATATTTATCTGCTTGATGATCCGTTGAGTGCTGTAGATGCAGCAGTTGGAAATCATTTGTTTCAACATTGTATATCTGGGATTATGAAAGATAAAGTTTGTATTCTTGTAACACATCAGCTTCAGTTACTACAAGATGCTGATATCATTATCATCTTGAAAGAAGGAAAGATCGTGGGTCAAGGTACTTATAATGAACTTCAAGCAGATGGAACTGATTTTGCTGCTCTGCTTGAAGAGAAAGATGAAGTCCAACCTGGCCTAGTAGAGACTCAACTCTCAGAAATTGAAGATGAAAACTCAGTTTTGATTAAACAGAGACTAGATCCAGAAATGACAGCTTCAACTATTTCATTGAAGTCTGCATTGTCACAGGAAATGATGGGTTTATTAGGTGAGGATCCTATAGATTCAGACACAACAAACCTAGAGGATGATAAGAATGGGGAAGCATCTGAAGAAATGCGGGTGCAAGGAAGTGTTGGTCGAAGTGTTTATCTTGAATATTTTCGAGTTGGATCAAGCAAGCTTTTTTGTTTCTTCTTTATTATAGTTATTTTATTGAGCCATATTTCATTTATTTTATGTGACTGGTGGATATCAATGTGGGCAACAAAGTATGAAGAACACCAACAGCCTGGAAGTGACTTACAATCCAATGTATCAAGTACTCTGAACTGGTCTACTACAATAATGGAGGATGTTACTTTACCATCAACTTCTGAAAGTTCTGATGTATTTGACACAAACTTTTATATGATAATATATGCTTGTCTTACTGCAATAACATATATTTGCATATGGGTTCGTGCAATAATGCATTTTTATCTTTGTGTGTCATCAGGCATACATATGCATAAAAAAATGTTTTATGCTATTTTGAGATCACCAATCAGATTTTTCGATACAAATCCTTCTGGACGAGTGTTGAACAGATTTTCCAAAGACATCGGTCAAATTGATGATCTTTTGCCATTAACTTTTTTTGATTTTTTGTACATATTTGGCCTTATTGCTAGCATCCTGATCCTGGCTATTATTGTTAATTTTATGGTGGCTGTTATAACACTGCCATTGGTTGTTGTTTTCTTCTGGTTAAGGCAGTATTATTTAAAAACTTCACGGGATATTAAAAGATTGGAGGGATCTACCCGAAGTCCAGTTTTCAGTCTCTTGTCTTCTACATTGCAAGGTCTTACTACAGTCCGAGCATTTAGAGTCCAGGATACATTCGAAAAGAAATTTCATGAAAGACAAAACTTGCACAGCAGTGCTTGGTACTTATTCTTATGTGGGGGTCGATGGCTCGGAGTTCGATTGGATCTTTTAAGTGCAATTTTCATAACAACTGTCACCTTTATGTGTCTCATCACGATATCATTTATTGATGTTGATCCTGGTCAAGTTGGTTTGTCCTTGACCTATTGTATCACTCTATTAGGAATGTTTCAATGGGGTGTAAGGCAGAGTACAGAAGTAGAAAATTTGATGACTTCGGTTGAAAGAGTACAACAATACTACAGTATTCCTTCAGAAGCTGCAGATGAAAAACCGGACAAGAAACCACCTGCTTCATGGCCAAACCTCGGAATAATTACCTTTGATCGAGTTTCGTTTGCGTATTATTCTGGTGGTCCAGATGTGTTAAAGAAGGTTCGTTTCAATGTCAAATCACAAGAAAAAGTTGGCATTGTTGGTCGAACAGGTGCTGGAAAAAGTTCTCTTATTTCTGCTTTATTTCGCCTGTCTGAATTAACATCCGGCGAGATATATATAGATGGAATTGCAATTACACCTTTAGGATTGAATGATTTGAGAAGAGCATTGTCAATTATACCACAGGATCCAATTCTATTCACTGGGACTATGCGAAGAAATCTTGATCCATTCACACAATACAGTGATGAAGATTTATGGGATTCACTTGAACAAGTCCAGCTGAGAGAAGTAGTGGAATCTCTTCCTCTGAAACTGGATAGTGAACTTGCAGAATCTGGTTCAAACTTCAGCGTTGGACAACGACAACTTGTTTGTCTCGCTCGAGCCATTCTTAAAAAAAGCAAAATCTTAGTTATTGATGAAGCGACTGCAAATGTAGACTTGAGAACGGATCGTCTTATCCAAGTCACAATAAGGGAAAAGTTTAAATATTGCACAGTTTTAACTATTGCTCACAGAATTCATACGATCATAGATTCCGACAGAGTGATGGTGTTGGATGCAGGAAAAGTTATAGAATTTGATCATCCTCATACTTTGCTACGAAACTATGAAACAATGTTTTCAAAGATGGTTGAGACAACAGCCAATGGTGCAGCAGTATTGAAGAAGATGGCAGAGGAAGCTTACAAATCTCAAAATCAACCAAAGCTTTCACTTCCCACTACTATAAAAGATAGTGATAGGTCTTATCTGTCAAGATTTACACCATCACCAGAAACCTACGATGCAATAGAGTTTGAAACTGGATTATAACATGGAACAATTCATTTTCTGAAATTCAGACTATGTGGAGTTTGAAATGACGACTCCACAGTTCTGCTATACAGCTCAATCATGATATTTATTAAATTACCAAGCAACATTCCATAGAATATATATTTATGATCATGTCTGTGCTAGATCAATTTTTGTGCTAGATCAAACATGTTCGTTATTTTAGGTTAGGTATATTTAAAATATACCGAATCTATGTTTTAGTTTCAAAATATTAAAGCAATTTTGCATCATTTGCATTCAAAACCATAACTTTTGTGGTAGGCAATCATTCTCTTTCATTCCAGGAGGATTTAATTTATATTTCCCAAATTCGTTATTCAATTTTCTGAAATAATTTTCAATTCATCACGAATTTTCGAAATTATTCTCGGTTGACTACCAAGCAGCATTTCTGCTTGAGATTTCTCGAGATAAAAAAATGGCGCTGTATTGCCTATCAAGTACAGAAACCTATCTTGTTCTAAATAAATTTCTCGTCTAAAAACATCCACGGTATTTGAAATAGCTTCTTGTGAATTGGCTATATATACACAACAAATTTTAGATAAAAATTCATTGCATAGTCTATTTTGTATAAGTGCAAATGTAATATAATATGCTGCAACTGTATGTTCAAATAGTACTTTTTTTAAATGATATTTCTTCGATGTTACTGCCATTTGCCCTTGTTAATCAGTGATGTTTATGTATGATTTTGGCCTCTTATCATTATCATGACTATATGTATATTGCTTCTCATAATTTGTATTTTTCGTTCGATGGGTATTAAAATATCCTTTCCCACATTATTTATCATTCAAAATCAAGATGCCGAGGAGCCAATATTCGACCGAAAAATTATTAGGGAATGAAGGATTTTATTAAGGAATATTTATGTTGTTTGGTGAAGAAAAAATTGAACTCTGCCATACATTGTGATATACACATACTTCTGTTCTATTCATTTATGAACACACATTTCTATTGAGCTACATAGCATTCTTTCTTTTCACTGTTATTGTAATTTGGTGCCTGCCTCTATTTAGCATAATATGGTGTTTGACACTTATTTCCCTGATTTGAAATACAACACTTAACTACTTCATCTAGTTGTCAAGCTCGAGTTGCTACTGGTGATAACCAACCATGCAAAATAGAAGTAAAGAGGTTAGGAGCTAATACGGGTAGTTGAACTTCTGTTCGCATAAGATGTTTTAGTCAGTCCCGAACACGACCAGACTATGAAAAAATATCTTCGTTGAAAAATCATATGTGCGATTGATAATATCGGGACGGATTGTGATCGTTTATCAGTGATTCTCAAACTTTTTTATGCTTGCGGCGCACCAACCACTAATATTATACCGCAATAAGCAAATGAAAAAAATGCGTCACACTTGTAAAAAGAAAGTTAGCTTCAAACAAAGTTATTATGCAAATGTTATTGCGATGGATGTGCCTGTTTTTAGAACAAATATGATTGAAACGAGATTCCGTCGTTGTCTAGCACACCTGCATTTCGTCGCCAATTCCAAAAATCGCTCCCTTTTTTGCTTCTAATCTCAGTTAGTGCTATAAATCCGTCATCGACAAAGAGAAATCAGCAATATAGCTTTTGCGATGAGTTGACGAGGGGATTCGCAATGTTTTCACGCCAATAATATTCTCAACCGTGAAGATATTGAGGTAAGTTACCATGATTTTCTTTGAGCTTAAGAATTCTGACGTTTTCTATGTTAATAATATCACAATTTTTTTGTCATAATAACGGAATCCCCCATGGAGTCGATTTTTTCAAGTACCGGTATACGGTTTTTGTCTCGTGTCACTTATTATACCCTGAAATTAAGTCCTTGCTACAGTAATTACTTATCGATCTTGATCGGTAAGTATGTTGATAGGTATTTGTCTGTGTGTTAGATGCACGCGATATCTCACGAAAGTGAAATTGGATCTGATGCAGATTTAGCATGTGCATTCATCATAGCTTGGATCAGAAGCCTATTGATTTTGGATGGATTATGTCGTATAATTAGCGAGTTATTAATTAATTAGTGATGGGACACACGGTGTCACTATGGAGTAAGACCACTGTTTTGGGGGATCCCCTAACCTTCGATCGATAAGTTTTCGGTTTCCAACCGAATTCTAGTTTTGTGTATTGTTCTGTCACCTTCGGGACACTGGACCGCATACGCGAAATAAACTGCCTGCGGACGTTGTTCGCCTTAGGAATATTTCTTTTTAAATGCATTTCTCTCTCATGGGATAATTAGCGATAATAATAGCGATAATATACTCCAGAATTTAGAATGTGTTAGCAAACATGATGTACTTGCGTAATACCAGATGTGTCTTCCACCCCGACGTTATAGCAACTAACTTACTTAACATCAGCATCACAAAATGCCTTTTTTTCATTTTAGTTTTTCGTGAAAATATTGACGAATTATGTCTCGTGGGAAACTGTAAGTCTAAAAACATGAATTTGTAAGATTAGCCCTCGGCTCAGTTACAAAATTTCGTTCTTGCCCATCGCTTCTATCTGAAAACACATCCAATAATAGTTAAGGATTTTTTTTTATTTCTGTGTGAACTAGACGAACCGAGTAATGCCACCGACATCCAGTTATAAACATCACAACGAAACAAAATATCAGCAGGATGGTTTTGATAGTTTTTGATGAACGTTTTTGATAGTTTTTTGCAAGCAGTGTACGCCAGTTAGTAAGAGATATGATATCACATAGCAAGAGCTATGTTTTTTTAAAGATCGCAACATATTTTAGGTTGTTTGGTTCAGAGCCCAGTCCAAGTAGATAAAATGCCAACAACTTGTATAATTTACCTGCTCGACCGGGTATGGAAAATATTCCAAATTCAACACAAAATATGTTGCCATCAGTGTGAGCAACCCTTTGATAACATCTTGACTGTCGCCTTGTACAAATGTTTTATTGTCCACTGCCACAGCAGGCATGCCGGGATCTTCTCGAGTTTCGGGAAACTCGAGGTAAGGCTGACGTAGGGTTGCCTTGATGCCATCTTCGTCAAATTTGACGACTGCTTTTAGAGCGGGGTCATTGTATAAATGTTCCATGAGATCGAGTCCAGAAGGGCGAAACTTTTAAAAAATGTTTTAAAAAAACCGAGGAAAAACCTAATTTCAAGTTGATCATTATGCATTATGATGACCATTTCTAGCTTTCGCCGCTGCCTCGAAAACTCCAAATCCTTTTTTTGGTAGTGCTCACGTATTCGTCAATGTTTATGGCCTTTCTCCTTATTAAATAGGGCCTATCTTCCATAAGCTCTAATATAGAAACCGTTATTAATGTTCAAATACTTATAGACGTATGACACAACTAATAAACAAAAATGCGAAAAACTTCAAAACTATATCAGACGTAGGCATTTGTTCAAAAAGAATTGTTTTAAAACAATTGTTTTAAATCAAGTTTTTTTTGCCTGTTTTGTTCAAAATGGCTGTACTATTTGATTTTTTTGTATTAAATAGGTTGAAAAAAATGGATGTAAAAACTTGCCAAGCGCTTCTTATTTGCAATAAATCTTTCAAAACGCCACAAATATCGATAAAGGCTCATTCACACCTACTCAAGCTGTAGTTCAGTGGTTGGCGCAGTAAGACGCAAGCGATAAGCCATTACGTGCTGCGATGAAACCACCTTGCGAAAATTGAAATGCGATCGAATAAATGAGTTTGTATAACCTCGAAAAACTAACTTCAACCTTAAAAAACCAAGTATGCTAAGCATAAATTAACCGAACAGTATTAACCGTAACGATGACTTCATTTTATGAGAAAAACGTCAATACATGACCTCGAAATCCATTTTATGGTGTCATAACAGATTAGTTGTTTGTCTTTGCATCGGAGGACAGATATAGTGAAGATATAGTGTGGCTATAAATGTACGCAATAGTGGTAAAAGTCAAAATAAAAATTTTTACTTACATATTATAATTTCGGCTGCATGTGCAGCGGCCAGAATGCAAGGTTTTGGCGTAGTTTCGCGGCAATGCAAGGGGTATTTCAATGAAAAATACAAAAAACAAATTGAATTTAAACAAGCCCTTGTTTTAAAACACGATGTTTTTTTAGAATTGATAAAAAACAAAACCCTAATCAGACGTACAAAAATCTTCTTAAAAACTGACATCGTATTTAAACAGAATTATTGAAAAATAGACTTTGAGAGCTCCCGAACTTGTGGCAAATCATTTTCATTCATTGTGGATATTGGATAAGTGGACAAAAATATGCACTGACCACATAATAGTTTGGGTATTCTGGAAAAAGACTTTTTGTGCGCTCCGATATTCTTCTTCCATCAAAGGCAGAGATGGACATGATTCTATTTGTTCTCGGTGTCAACTTTTCTATTCCTCTGTTCTCTGATGAATGCTTCAAATTTTGTTGTTTTTGCGTCTTGGCTGTTACCCCACTTCCTTAATAAATGATACACTAATTCAAGGAATCGACTTTGGTGGATACTGTCGTCGATTTTCAGATTAGGATATTCCAACACCAAGTTTTGTGCACTGACAAGTCGTTCCTGTCGGTTTGGCTTTCTGCCCATCAATTGATGTCTTGTTACGGCTAGATACAAGGCTTTGCTCAAGGGCGATTGTGCGCTATTGAGGTAGTTTTTTAAATCGGTGCATATAGAGAGGGAATGGGGTAGAAACTGGACCTCGGTAATGAAATAGGAGAAGGGATTGGAATTTCGATATTATCAGGTGCTGCCTTCCGACAAGTTCAGTTCCGTCTCTGGATTTTCTGATCAAAGGTCAAGAACGGGCAGTGCACGTCTGAGGAGTGAGGAATAGAGAAGATCTAACATCTCCCCCCGTAAATGTTGTGGAGTTGTCCGAAATACCAAAAACATTTATCACCAAAGTATTGCTTTAAAATCGCGGCAAAATATTTCACGAAACGTACTTCACCGTCATTTTTTTTCCGTGTATAGAGGTAGGTTAAATAATGATGTAAGATTGATAAAACTCATCTATATTGAATTCCTCTACAGGTAACATATATATATAATTAAATTATTCGAATAACGAATTAAACATGTGACGTATTAAATAGAAAGGACGACGTTGGTCCGATGAGTCTCTGCTTGGTATTGTATTGTTGCTAAGTGATGAGAATAATCATCACATCAAAAACTTGTATGCTCTTGTTTCGTTGATTTTCGTCAAATTCAATGACTTCACTAGATGTTTTATTTTTCAATCTAGATGTTTCTCTAGGTCTATCTAGAGACATTTTAGTCAGGCAAAAGTGACGGCCCTGGTAACGTCATCTTCTTCCCAACTCAGCTGACACGATGACTCTGGTAGCTTTCGCGGCCCCTCGTCAATTGTTCAAATATTGTATATATATCTGTTTTCTTTAATTGATCTTTCTATTATTATTTTTCTTTTAATTGCGTCTGTCCAATGTTTCATGCACGACGAAATAAATATCGGAACATTTTTATGATATGGTTTACCTAACGTTTCGAATGTCTATAGACAAACTTAAAGAGGATATTAAAAGTCACCATATATACACGCAAACGCAACTATATAACCCCAACTCTTATCATCGATAGCTATCTATTCCTATCCAACGTGTCGAAGATGAAAATCATCACATAACGCGGAATATTAAATTAAAAAGATGAAGGTATAACAATCTGTATCTGAAACAAAGATAAATACTCTCCTGGAAACATGCAATTCAAATCGTCTTTTATGGTATTAGATTTGTGTATTTGAAAGGACCCATACAACGCGACTTGCCCCTATAACGCGACTTTAGTTGAAAGCGCGTTTTATATTGCTGTTACACCGTCTTTTTCTCCTTATAATGTTCTTAACTGAAAACTACGCTTAGTTTATCCTGTGGATACTTTCATCACGCATGCTGCAAAGAAAACGAATAGACAAACCTTCTCCCTTCCGTGGGTTAGTGGGTTTCTTTACGGTCGATAATATATTGCCGATCCTTTTTGTGGAGTTTGAATACCGATACTACTCTCCGCTTTGGGTATCCATTGTCTCTTGATATGAATAATCTCTTTTTACGTCGCTGGTCTTCTGATACAATGATCATGTTTTTTTTTATGAGGCTG